GTGGGTGTCGGTGTGATGAGAGTATTTTTTTCATACTATATCCACACTCACCCCTCAAGTTTTTGAATCGAGACTATGAACATCAAGTAGGTCCTAATCGACTATAAAAAGAGACCGTGATATTGTATTATTACAATATCTTTTTAGCGCAATGCTGTAGTCTCCCTTAGGAAGATCAGGAAACTGAATCTGGACAGAGATAAACCTTAACAAGTGTAAGTACTTACAGCAGAATAAAATCTTTTGACTGCTTCTATCCTTAAATAAAAATATTAGAAACTTTCACAGTAAATATTCTTATTAAGGCCAGTCTCTCTCTGCACAAAGCTTCATATTGATATTCTAAGCTTAGTTTTTCTGATGTTCTTCATGAAGCTACCATATTGCTCTTACCATAGTCTCTTTTAAAGTTATTCATAGCTCATCAAGACCTACAAGATAAACATTGTCTTGACTCAAAAACATTTATTTATGAACTTTTTCAGCAATGGCCTTATCGTCTTTGCAACAAGAATATGGTGAAAGGATTGATCAGATCAAGAAACAAGAGATCGAGCCGCAGAAAGAAGAGATTCGCAAAGTAAAAGAAGATATGTCAAAGTTACAAGAAACTCTTCAGCAAAACAAAGAAATGGACGAAAATAAAATCAAAGAACAACAAAGAACGTACGACGAAAAGTTTGCTCAAATCGACAATAAAAATGAGTCTATACGACGTCTCATCGATCAACAGACGGAAGAACAACGACAGCGAAATACTGAGCACGAAAAACTAAACCAGCAACTGAACGAAGTGAAAGAACGCACTGAAAAACTAGAAGCAGGTATACAAAACGAACTAGAAGCAAGAAAGAAAACTGAGCAACAGGCGAAAGAACAACGACGGCTAGATACTGAGCACGAAAAACTAGATCAGCAACTCAAGGAAGTGAAAAAACGCATTGATGAGCTAGAAGCAGATATGCATGCTGACCGGGAGGCAAAAGAGAAAGCTGGCCAAGAGGCAAGAGAGCCAGCTCAACGACCACGTAAGTCTACCTCAGTGATTATAGAAAAACTATTTTTTTCATTCGCGGCGGAGATCAAAGAAAACAAAGTCTGATGAGCATGCTCGTATAGCTCACCATATATATTTAGGACTGATGCGCGGCCAATAGGTCTATTCATTCTAGTTATGACTTTTGCGACTAGCGCACTTGAACTAATCCCCTATATCTTTCTATTCTATACGTTCAAAAACTCACACCTACCCTTATTCCTTACTATTTTAAAATTCTCATGATTGAAAAATGTCGGTGATTCTCAAATTATACGGTGCTAAAAACTCCTGAACCTAATTATCTACAATCTCAACCACTTTTCTAAAAGTATTTCTTTGTAAACGAAAATAATTTTCTCGTCCACTCGTTCTATGGTCCACATTTTGTAACTTCCTAATATTTTCATTTAGAATCTCAAGAATTCGCTGCACCTGAAGCATGTGAGCAACTTCTTTGTAAAGGTCATCCTTGTGCCAAGTGTCACAAATGTCGTGATTGGCATTTTAATGGTGATCAAGAAACATGGAATTGGATCTGCAATTACAAAAATTGGAGAAAGGTGGATGAGGATCGCTGGCGGAAAGGCGCTTCTAATCTTTTAGAGAAACGTATTGATGCAACCTGTACTGGTCGTATAGCTGGTCATATTGGTTGTTCTTTTTCTTTTGGTCTTTCGATTGGTGGGAGCGGCACTACTATTGGTGCTCCTTATGCTCGTTTATGTCTCTGTGAGAAACATTAACCTTTTTTTTTTATAAAAGGAATGAATATTTTTTTCCCTAAATTTCTCTTGTTATACAAAGATCTTTATTGAAATAAACATGAAATGCTCAAATGAAAAAGATCTCCGATTTTGGCAGCGTGTACAAAGAATAGAAGCAGTCGCTTGGGAGGAGGATGCGAGTGTGATAAAATTCCAATGATCGATTTCGATTTTTTCATAATGTATATTTGGTGAAAAACAATTATAAAATAGATAAGTAAATGGCTAAAATTTCCTAAAATTGTTTTTATAATTTAGGACGTTGGAATCCTATAAAATAATATATAGTACGAATTTAGAAAGAAAAATTAAAAAACGAATGAACTATTTTAGTTTATTGGAGAATTGTTCGAAACAATGAGAATTGTAGTTCATGTTTTATTGTTCATTATAGATGACCTATAGATATATTTGTAGAGAAATGAATGTATTTTTTAAGACGAAATATAAAATAAGGGACCAAGTAATTTATTAGACAAAACATCCTTTTTGTAAATCAGTTAGTATTATTCTGTTATGAAAAGATAATCGGCAATACTGTTCAAGTTTTTTACTTGAAACAGAAAGCATTAAAAGATATTTGTATGTTGTATATCATCTATGAACCACGTTGGAGCCGAAGAAATTTAATCATACAGAAAAGAGGGCTACTGGAGAAGCCTAAGTTTCAATGTGTTTCTATCAGTTAGTTGCAACCAGTGTGACAGCGAAAACGAATTTCTATTTTAAATCGATGGTTAACAAAAACGACAAAAATTGTAAAAGATTAGAACTTGGATTATAACTATCTACCATTTCAATTTTATTGAGTTTTTCATTTTTTGAGTGGATTGAATTAAGTTACAATGGGAATTATTTTCCATTAATTGACATGTTTGACAGAAGAAATAAAAATATGTATATTTCTTTGTTTTCTACCTAAAACATTTAGTTTATAAAGCTCATGTAATTTCGAACAAAATATATTTTTCTGACAATCTCGTTACGAGGTAAAATGAGCTAATGCTATTATTGTTATAACTCTCAACCATAGTCAAAATTTAGAATCTTATCTAGAAGTAGTTTTGCTATTCTCTCTAATCGATATAATTTTCAACAGTACTCAAGATGTGAGATTAATTAAAATTGTTTGTAGTATCCATGCCATCAATAAAATATACTCATATAAAACATCAGCTAATGATTGTGCGTATCTGGCTGAACAAAAGACTAGCTTAATATAATTATTTCGTGTTTAAAAAGAATATACATGATTTCAATGTAATGAAGCCTCATCAATTTCGACACAATATGTATTTCAGATGATTGGTGTTATACAGAATAACATATACGACAGAGTGCTTTTAACTACTAAACATTATCATTCTTGCTCTTGAAAAGACAAAAGTATATAATCTTAAATGTGTAATTGCGCTCTACATATAAATAAATAAAAATATAACTTTCGGATGCATTTGGCAAAAACATTTTATAAATACGAAGACTGTACTTTACAGATCAATGAAATACGTATTTTTTATGTATTCTAGTCAACATATTAATTAAATACAAATGATTATCATTCCAATCAAGGTTAAGTAAATCCACTAAAAGCTAATTCAGTCGACTTTAAAACGTTAATAGTTATAACTATTAAAGTTTATGATTGACACAAACTACTTCGTTCACAATGAAGTTAATCAGGTTCAATCAAAAGTAGCATCTCGACTATTTCAAACTATCACTTACGTCGAAGATGTGGGTATGAGTAAGAGTGAATGAAATAGAATATCTGCACTCACACACACCCATACCTTTTCTGGTAGAGTTGATAAAAAAGGGAGAAAACACATATTATTTAATTATATGCTGTGAGATTCACTTTAAAAAGATGGTTTTTGTTGGATGTCTCATACATGCTCTCCAAAACTACATCCTCGCACAAAAGTCTTTCCCTTCTTCGTTTCTTTGCTATCATACTTTTTATAAAATTTATTGCCGAGTATAGATATGACTTGAGATCTTTATTTCAGTATGGTATACAGATCACAACACAATAAAACTCAATTCATATCTCTACTCGGCAATACATTTTATACAAAGTATGATAGGACAGAAATAAGGAGGGTGGGTGTGTACGAGAAAGAGAAGCAATACTCACGCCAACATCCGCGTATCTTTGCGTTAGTCATAGTTGTTGTCTTTTTTATCTGTCTGAAGCAGTAAAGTAATCTGTAAATAAAAGCTTCTGAAGAAAGACTGAGCGAGAAGTCATGTTTGTCATTTATCTTTCTAAAGAACAGATAAAAGCACAACGTATAACTTCAGTCACGTATTGTGTTTGCTGCGAAAAGGTAAGAAAGAGTTTTGCTTCTGAAGTAAAATAATACATCAATTTTTTTCCAACTACAATGCTCTTTCACAATTCTTCGATAACCTGTGCTGTTGGACTGTAATGGCAGGCGCTCAGTCGAACCATCGGTATCAATGCCAAATTTTCAAAATATATCCACAAAACCCTGATAATAAAAGCAGATACATAGCTATGTAGCCGGTGGTTGATTATTTTGCAGCTGCGAGCTTGCATGTTGAGATAAGAGTAGGAAGATCTAAACTTGGCTCAGGAAGTAGGTGTCGAAAGAGAAAATTAGCCAAGTTTTTTTTTAGTGTGTGTGTGCTTCTATCATCGGTGCTTTTAAGATAGTATGAGGATTCTATGTCTTTTATAAGTTTTTAGGAAAACTCTTTTTCCTTTGCATATGTTTCGAAGAAATCCATAGTGGACGTATAGGTATAATCGACATAATGGAGATGGGTTCAGGTTTTACAGTGACTGTGGTTGCTAGGATAAATAAAGAAGCCACCCAACTCCCCACTCACACGCACACCTGTATCCACACCCTAGATTGTGGAAACATCGTGTTTTACTTCTTGCAATAGCATATATGTCATATATTTTCTCTATTTTAGAGTATAACTATTCGGCATTAATTCATCATCGATTCAATTACACACCATTAAACAACATGGCATCAAAATCAGCAAGTAACCAACAACACAAGGACATTGATAGACTAATCTCTTGTGCCATTTGTCTTGACTATTTTGTTGATCCACGCCTATTACCTTGCTCACATACATATTGTCTTGGATGCATCCGCAAGATTGCCTGTGCTAATTCTGGTCAATTCGAGTGTCCTATGCGTGATGGAACCAACATCAAAACAAATCATATCGATTCATTACCGATGAATCGAGCCGTACGTGACATGGTTGAGGTCTTATCACAAATGGTAGATGTCACTGATCAAAACAGACAGTCATGTAAATATATATATTTGAGCGTGTGTGCGTATTGTGTCTGTGATACCCACACCCTATTGCCATAAAAGAACATCATCGTGTTTTTTCTTCGTTCAGATTCTGACGAATCAGATTATCCTGCAGCTAGTGCCTTGGTTGTGCCGAAGAATCCAACCATGCCTTATCAACCACCATCAAAAACTCAATCTCGGCCTAAAGCAGGTATGTTTCCTTGAATAAGGTAGTAGCCTTGCGTAGTATAATGATTCTCCTAGCTATATAATTCGATTCTTGTTCTTTGACGGGTTCTTGAATATATGAGTGTGGGTGTTCGAGTGAATCAGAAAACATATTGTCATATCCAGGCCCACACCCACCCTTTTTTCCGATCGTTTTTTTTAAATAATGGACGAGGTTTTTATAAGTTTAAGGTAACGAAAACACCATTTTTACGAGAAAGAGCCGAACGAATCGCCAGACGAGCATCACTTGTCTTATTTCTATGAAGATTTATTCGGAAAATAGTCTCACCTACAGACTTTTTAAACGGATTATATTGTCTATTGAGTACTACATGATGTGTTATAGAAAAACTAGCTCGTACTGATTGAGAATATCTCGAAATTTTTTCAAGTGATATGAGTGATAGATTGTTTTTTTAACTGATCTACGAATCAGTTTACGAATACAAGTATCTTGAAATTCTGCGATTAATAAGAATACAGCAAACTCCTGGGATGTGTGCGGATGTGATTGTATCTTTCCTTAACTTTCATCCACACTCACACCCTCATTAATTATTTTTTGACTGCTCCTATCGAAAATGCGACCTCTTCTCTATTAAGTGCACATACAATTTAAATAAAGACAAGACATTGTCGTTGTCGCATTTTCTTCTACAGCCAAAATAGGATTAATATTTCAATAATTCTCAAATCTATGGCGTATTCTATTGAGAAAATATGGAAAGTTCTTTAATTTCGACTTTTGGATGACTCCAATTATCTACATTCTCTAACAGTTTCCCTAAAGTATTTCTTTGTAAACGAGAATAATTTTTCTATCGAATGATCATATAGTCCACTACTAAGATAATTTCGAGTTTACTACGGTTCTCTGAACAGACATCTTATAAAATCATCATCTGTGCCCTACCATGATTTTGTGACTGCTTAATATTTTTATTTAGAATCTCAAGAATTCGCTGTACCTGATGCGTGCAAGAGACTTGATTGTAAAGGTGATCCTTGTGCCAAGTGCTACAAGTGTCGTGATTGGCATTTTAATGGTGATCAAAAACAATGGAATTGGGTCTGCAATCACAAAAATTGGGAAGATGCGGATATAAAACTTTGGGTCAATGATGGCTATAGATTGAAATTTTTTAAGAAACGTGATGCTGGTTACAAGCTTTTTACGCTACATATTAGTGCAACCTGTACTTATTATGATGATAATTATAGTTTTAGTGTGGATCATTATCTTTATGCTTATGGTCGTGATAGTTTTTTTGGTCACGTATGTCTCTGTGATAAACATTAACCTTCTTTATCAGAATCATGAAATGCCTTTTGCTCAATATTCCTGTTGTTGTACAAAGATTTATAATTAAATAAAAATCGAAGAGTAAAAAAGACAGATTCAGCGTGCAGCAGAGAGTAAATCAACTGCGAACGTAGACAAATGTTCATGATAGATGTTGTTAGTGTATGGTGTATTTTTAGTTAGTAACAATTTAAAAACTGATGAATTACTGCGTAAAAGTATTTTTAATAATTTTAACATGTTGAATCTTATAAAGTAGTGTATAATATAATGATACAAACTAAAAACTGTGATTCATTGATATGGTCATAGAGGAATAGATGTAATTATTGAAATTAAGTATTGGATAGCACAAAGTAGTTTTTTTAGAGAAACACTATGAAAGATTGTTGCTATGTAGAAGAAATTTAAATTTTTCTTTGCATTCCTGCATTAAGAAACTATGGCAGCTATTGAATATAGTTTTAAAAAAAGTACTTACCCATACGTATCGATGGATTTTATTAAATATTTCTATCAAAGAACGAATGATGATTTTAAATAATTAGATAAAGTAATTTTTTTAGAAGTCAGTTGTTATGATTTTTGTGTTATGAAAAGATAATCGGCAATACTGTTCAAAATTTTTAGTTGACACAGAAAGCATCAAAAAATATTTATATTTTGTATATCTTGTATGAAACACGTTACAGTCGAAGAAACTTATTCGTCCAGAAAAGAGGGCTACTGGAGAAGCCTAAGTTTCAATGTGTTTCTATTAGTTAGTTGCAACCAGTGTGACAGGTACAACTGATTTCTATTTTAAATCGATAGTTGAGAGAAGGGTGTGGGTGTTATTTCTTTCAAAACGTTTACCCACGCACACCCACACCCACCGCTTTTTCTCAACTCCATATATGATCAAAACAAAATGTGAATATTGACCTAATTGTCATCTTCAGAACAATTTCCTGGATACCGTGGCAACTAGTCTTCGAATTCACAAACCAAATCTTTTTATTGATGTACTCAAATCAGATATGGGCATATCGTGAATGATGCTCCACATCAACGATGTTTTTGCTATCAATGTGGTATTCTGTTGCCTGCTAATGTAACAAAATTCCCAATACGCAAGCAACCAACAGACAAATAGAAATCAACACTATCTTGTTTCTTTCCGATATACACATACAGATTTAAATGATGTACATAAATTTGTCAAATTTTATAAAGAAAACTTCTTAAATTTTTATATACTAATAGACAAGCGTGAAAAAACGTAAGGTTAAGTTTTTTTCCTCAAATAAAAATCACCGCTTTATGAATAACTTTTAATCATATGAACATTCTAAAATATGCCAAACATGTTCTCTCACCTTCCAGTGTAATGAACTGATCATGTGGATATGAGCGGGTGTGGGAGTAACGCTGTGGTGTGTAGACGAGTGTGAATGCCAAAAGATCAACTATCCACAGCCCTACCCAACCTCTTAAACACCAGCGAAGGTTTCGAAACGCTACTCTTTTTTTGATCTAAACCATGAAGAATAGGATTATATTGAGTTCTGTATTTCTTGTTAGAGTAGTTTAATATTATGCTTGTTTACCGTGCTCAAAAGAATTTCGTGAAAGACTGACTTCGGAATTTGGAACTTGTCTGTTTTTATTAACTCTTTTTGTGTCAGTTACATGTACTCGCATTTCGGAATAACAACTTTATGAAAAATGTCACAAGACTACCCCAATCGCTAATCGTCATCGTCGAATCTTTCATATGCATCATCTTGTTGACCACTGGTTGGTAGTAATGTCAGTGGATTAATCATAAGTGGTCTACCATAACAATGTTGCACCTTTCTTTGCGAAGCAGAAGAACTTTGAAAAATGAAAAATAAGATAATATGCTTCAAAAGGAACAGATTATCAGAACTATTAACCCGCTTATTTTATGAAGTTGGTCACCACCTCGATTAATTTGAGAGTATGATGGTGGAGGTGGACTCTCATTGCCATCAGCAACAGGCCATGAAGAAGGTGAAGGCACAACCTGCTGTCGAGCCTGATTACGCTTGAAACAAGAAGAAACGAACGTCATTCAACTGCTCAAATCACTGTATTCCATCTTACCCAATTCGTTTGCTGGTTATCTGCGACTGCTAATTTTCTGCTGCCGCCACCGCCTCTTCCTGGGGAATAATACAATCTTCTGTTGTATCACAAAAAGTATAAAAAAGAATGTTACCTTCCCTAGCGTCCCCTCGATTATCCGCACTTCCAGATCGTGTTGCTGTGTTCTGATATTTTTTACGACACAATTGAACACGAAGCACTGTATTAAAAACCGGAATGTGTTGATCTGGAAAATTATAAACATAAAGACTCATTTACAATTACCATAACACAATTAAGATATTAATTTACTATTGAAAAGAGTAATCGCTTTATCGACGGAATTTTTATTTTCATACGTCACAGTAGCTGTTCCCGTGCATTCGTTATTGAGTTTGTTCCTGTAGATCCACACATGATAATATCCTTTACTTGAATCGCGCTAAAATAACATAGTGCACTCATCTACTTTCTCACTGACTATACGTTATATCAAAATGCGAGCATTCGTACATACTTTAATTCGACCGGCTTGCGAGAATACTTTGAATAGTTGGGTTTTAGTTGTAGTAGAAGGTAAATTAGCAATGAAGATAGCCTCGTTTTTCGTTGTTATCTCTGGAGTCGCCAAGTTATCCTCATGGGTCGATTCCAAGGTAGATAAATCACTATCATCGCTAATACCACTTGTTGCTATAATTTAAGACCGATTTTACTCAAGATTTTGTTAATTTTTTTTCGAATATTACCACTTAAAGTAGAAGAACCGAAAGGAAAATACTGTCGTAGCATTGGTTGTTGAACCTGCATAAGTGAGGCCGCTGCTGGATTATTCTTCGATTTCTATATTAGACACAAAGATACTATAAAGTGCAGCCCTTTTACGATTCAGACTTCAGAAATATTGCATTAGGGTGGGTAGGTGAGGGTGTGGATGGGTGTGTATGGCGTGAATGCGAGTATGGGTGTGAGTGTAGGTGGGTATGTATGGTGTGGATGTGGATGTATCATATCTTTGATATCAACACCTGACATTCACACTCATACTCACCGCACCCACCCACCCACCCACCCACCCACCCACTCGCCGTCAATGCTGAAAATGAAGCATACCTTTATGTTAAACTCCTGAGCTCTTTCTTTGCTTTGTATGTTTTTATGCTGCTCTAGTGACTGATTTTCATTTTTCGGATTATTTGTAATGAGTTGATGGAGCACAAAGATCTCATCGAGCATACGCGGATTGATTTGAGTAATCTTCAAAATATCAACATCGGTGACACTGTCGATTTTTTCTTGGAGGTCCGTATGATGTTGAGCAATTGTTTCCGGATTCAACGAACTATATTTCATGAAATACTTCCCTAGAACGACAGCGTCTTTTGGACTTCGAATAGATTGACCACGACATCTGTTTCTTAGTTCATCGACAATTGCTCGTCTTTGTTTTCTATCATTTGTTTCTTCATAGTCGTCGACAAGGTCGTTTGTATCGCGTACCAGAAGTTGATCGCTATCCATTTTTATTGTGGTGTCCTCGCTTTTCGATTGTTTTTTCTTCGTTGACTTTGTATTAATCTTATCACCTCCCGATGAGGAACTTCTACTCGTACTCTTCTCACTCGAGTCACTCTCAGTTGAAACATCATTTTTCTTCTTTTTCGGCTTTTTCTTGTTCGTTTTCTTCTTATCATGTCCAAGATTACTTATGACTGAGCTGTTTGGTGGGAGCAAGCCGGTTGTGGTTGATGAAACCGTAACACCGCCTAGGAGAGCTCGTACATCATCAGCTGACCCACCTACACAATATTTTGGAGTAAGTACTGATGCTGTTGCGTCATTCAATGGTTTCGAAACTGAGATAGCTGAAGTCGCACGGGTGGTATAACTATCGATCAAATTCATTTGAATGGCGGGAGGTGCATTTCTATCTCGCTCGTCTTTGATCTGTTCACATAAAGCTTTAAGTCCTCGAATGAAACTGTCGGCTTGTTGTTTCGCGTCGATGCTATGTAGGGTTAATGCTTCTTTTTCTAGTTTGTCGATGAAGTTGATAAGTTCTGCTGCTAAATTGAAGTTTCCACATATCGATTTTAAATCACGACACTTTTTTATGATTGAATCAGTTAAATGTTTTAGGGCCTGTTCCAGTACTTTTTTTGCATCTGCTCCTGTCTTAATTTTTGTCTTGGCATTGTTTATGTTTGATGTGGCACTATCGTATTGAGCTTTGATATCTTGAATGATTTCAACCGTCGTCCCCGAAGCCATTTTCATTGTTTTCTTGGCATGATAATGCTCAGTATACGAACACTTTTGGGGGCATTGCCGGCACTTATTCATACCACCCATCGCCCAACATCCAATAAAAATTTGATCACCTTTTGTTACAGTTTCATTCAAACCACAATGATCGTGACAGACAAAATTACACGATTCGCATAGCGTACTGTGATAAGGTGCATCAACAAGTTGTGGTTTATTTTGAACTGTTTTAGTGAAATCTTTGAATTTCACTTGATCGTCACCATATTTCTTGACTGCTTCTTCATAGGCGGCTATTTCATCTTGCATCTTTTGAATCTCACTAATTCGTAGACGAGCATCATGAAGCATGGCTTTTATTTGATTACGAATGTCAATCATGTTGTTAAAAGCGGTAACCGACTGAATTGTGAACTTATCAACAGTTTCCAATAATCGTTTGACTTCATACATTGAATCGTCCCAGTCTTTCTGTAAAGATTCACGTTGTTCATGATCCCAAGTTTTCGGGTCTTTTGAAAATGCTGAATTCTGCATGTAAAAGGGGTAGACATTACCACGCAATTGCAAAACCTTCAAATCAGTGTTCGCCGCATGGCGTTTGGCATTCGTAAGAACAACAATAACGGATTCCATGATCGCATCTGGTAAATTGCCCCAAAGGTAAGTGATGACAGTTCGCACATTAGTGGTCAATCGTGCATTTGCTCCATTCATTACAATCATTACCACCGACAGACCACCAAGGTCTTGAATTGCCTTGATGATTGCATGCATATTAGCCGCATCTTGCTGAGCGCCGCGTACATCGCCCAATCCGGGGGTGTCCAAAAACAAATATCTTTTGTTGTTTTGTCTAGAATCAGTGAATAAATATTGATGACATGAATTCGTTTGCGATTGGGTCGAGTCGCTTACATTGGTCTCCTCATGGGTAAAATTTTCAGTGACCAATGGATGATGTTTAGATGGGATGGAAATTCGTAACTGATCTAAATTACCATGACGAAAATAGTTGGTCAAATAGTTGATGAAAGTTGATTTTCCACTGCCTGTCTCCCCAATAATTAGCACTTTGGCTATGCCACTTGTGTCAGCATTGAGCATAACAAGATCGGAATCATCAGCGTTTTTCGCTTTAAGCGATTTGACTGAGTCCGTCACATTATTAAGCACCTTTTGAAATGTCGCCTGCATGTTGAACGCCTGAACGAAAAAATTATTTCAAGATAAATGCTGACATCAAGAGAGAATATATCTCAATATCTTTTGAATATCTTGCGGGCAGAAGCACTTAAAGATCTACGGTTTTCATCAGCTGAAACAGAAATGTAAGTGAAGTAAAGCTATACTAAATTATCATAATTTGAGCTCGATCAAGTTCATCAGTTTTCTTCATAGACCTTGATCCAGAATTATTGTTTAGAACTTTATGAGCTAACTATTGATTCTAACGTGACCAGTGGATAGCCAAGACATTTTTGAGACGATCTATACAAGGCCAACATGCCTGAATTATTTCCTTGAAAAATTTTCAGCATTTCTCACTCAGCTCTGATATCCAGTTTATAATGCTCTCGAGTAATTTTCGATGGTTTCGAAGAAAACAACTCTCCTTTGAATGTAAACAAATAAAATATTTGGAATCATCCAAGGGTGGCGGAGCGTCTTGAATCCAAGTGAAAGTCATAGTACTTTTTTCTCTCCAGTCGACGTTCAATAGTCAAACTTTTATTCAAGTGTCACAGTACGTCTTTTTCCACTTCAGCTACCCAGGCGAATAAACGGATAAAAAGCAGAGATCATTAAAAAGTGTCAAAAAAGAATATACTCTATTTGTTTCTGGAGGCAAAAATACAACAAATACTATTCAAGTCTATGGCAACCGTCTTGTTCTTGTAAATATGAGTAAGAAACGCGCTATTAAAATGACTTTGTTTCATTGTCGATCGAAAATACGTCTTCATGCGGTTCAGAATGGAAAGTGATCCCAGCGTCGTTGCTACTTTCAGCATTTAATTCATCTTTCTTCTTGTCATTCGATGGCGGTAAGTCAGAAATCTCTTCAGTTTCTGTTGTTTCTGATTCCTTTGTCTTTTTCATCGTGGAGAAAGGATGAATAACGAGACGCTTTTCTACCATTGGATTACTATACTCTTTTGAATATTCAAAATCTGATAAGGATGTACTATCTCAAGCTATCCCTCTCTTCTATAAAATCAAAGCGTGCCTCATATCCGACTGCTATCATGTCATTCCGAGTTTAAGGCAGTGACTACGTGCAACACGTATCAAAGAAAGGCACTTATTTGCCCATCACTGCAATGCTAACACCACAAGTACATAAGGGACTTGCAAACCATATATCTTCATTAGCTGTGATGTTCGAAACTGGGTAAGGCTTGAGCTTCTGGGCCTCAATGATTTTGCCACCCTCTAAATTAGATTACGAAACTGCGTTGACCTATCTATGTTTCAGATTATTTTTGTGGCTTTCTTTTCGAGCCAATTTTGACTGCGCATCTCACTAAGGGATGCACGAGTCAGAAAAATCAAGCGGGAGAAGATAATCCTATATTCTTTAGGTCCTTTGGTGTCTTATGGATCTCAATAGATCCTGATACATCCTTTCAAATTCTGTCGGGTGTAGGTGTAATCGTGAAATAAATAAAGTACCATTACCACACCTACAGCACTCACTCACACCCACACCCTCATGGATCTTCAAAAAATTCGTGGAAGCTCCACAAAACTCTTTATAACGAGTGGTGCACAAATGAAGTATCAACTCGTAACGGCCGGTTACGAAAGCCCAGCTTTTTTTTACGTTTTACTGGGCTTTCGTATCGCCTTATTGACAGGACTTTCGTAATCAAAATTTAATGCACTTTTTTATCGATTTTACAGGGATGTTGTATCAGTTTTGACAGGGCTTTCGTATCGTATTGACAAAGTGTACCTATAAATTTTACAGGACCTTCGTATCGTTTTTTACAGGGTCTTCGTACCGCTCGTACAGGGTTATCGTAAAGCCAAAATTGTTAATATTATCTCAAATTAAATACTATTAACAAAGTTTTCGTATTGATGTAAGTATTTTATCAAAGTAACCGTGAACAAAGTTAAAGAGTAGCAAGAAAGAACCAGAATATAAATGAACACATCTTAGTCTTTTTTTCAAATTTATTTCCTAACAACACAAAGAAGATATAAAGAACAAAAAATAACACAACAACAAAATGACTTTTTATTCGTTACAAATGGATCGTACTTACTAACTAAACATATATACATATATATATATGCTCTCAAGAGTATTCGCAACGAATACCTTGTTTTCTTATGGAGTACTAGTCTTTTTTAGCTTACGTATTAATACAATACAAAATTTGTTACGAATGCCCTGTTAAAACTCGATACGAAGGCCCTGTCAAAATCGATACGAAACCCAGTTAAACTTCGGTACGAAAATCCTGTTGAAAAAAACATGATAGGGTTTTCGGGTTACGAAAGCCCGGGAAATTCCTTGTTACGAGTTGATATTTCCCCAAAAATGATATTGATAAGTGAACGCGTTCTTCTTTATTAAGTGATATATGTTCCAGTAAGTCTCATTTTATCAAGTAACATCTTGTTTTGCCTAACACTGGTAAATAAGTAGTCTTACGTCATATATTTGCATTGGAACATCCGAACGAAATGTGCTACTTTAAAACACAGGAATAAACAACTTCGCTCACCGTTCACTTTCTGTTATTGTAAGGAGAATGGCAAAAGCATACAAAATCCAAATGACGAAAATAATGTGTACTCACTAGTTTGATTTTCTATGAGTACAACTGTCGTATTGTTCACGTCGCCTTACTTGTATCAGTAATGAGTGTCCTAGACAAAAATCTGAAACAGAAAGGGTTATTTAATGAATATTTCTTTTAAATATTAGACATCACTACACATACACCATTAAAAACATGCATACGAACGAGAACGATATTTTAAACAAGTAACAATACAAAAATGACGATACAATAAAGACACTGTATGAATGACAAAAAACTGACAAAAACAATGAGAATAGTAGAATAACAATATTTTAATGGCTGAAAACAAAAATTTCTCAACTTTTGAAATACGTTGGCATATGTCTCTTTGGATTTGTATTGTATAGTTTAAACCTATAAAATACTTCAGCTTTCTTGTTCAAAAATCCGAACATATCTTTAATACGGAACAATGGTTTACTTCTTCAAGTTACCCTCCAGCAATTGATTGATTGCTGCCAATTTAAGTAATGTGTCTTCAGGTACTTTGTCGATGTTAAGTGGTTCGAAATCTATTAATTTTTGAACTCGTCGCACCAACTCACGATAGTCTTGTAAAAGGTCATCTTTATTTAATCCGTGGGTAAGGACGTGGCTGGTATAAACTTGTAGTCGCCCTGGGTCGAGAAATCCGACCGATTCGCCGTGACATCGGCGACTAAGCTCTTTTTCGATTTCTTTTTTACTTGCATGATCGTCTGTATGACCATACAACTCAAGCAAATGAATTATCGATTCCATTTTACATTCTTCAACACTAAGCGATCGTGATGCGACAGCATATTCCTGTAACTTTGTGTCATCATCTTGCTTGGACACAAGCCTACGAGCTAACGATCCATCAGCCGGTGCATTTTTCTCATCAGCCACGTTCATTGTTGAGGATAGTTTTTTCGCCAAAAATTGTTCATCTGCACTCAGTTTTACTTGATCCAAATTCGTTTCAATTTCTTTTAGGAAATTTTCTTCGTCTAGAGTCGCATGATCGATGTCTTTTGAACGATTCTCGTCTTCATACACCTCTCTTTCAAGATCGCTATCTATCTCCATCCGCTCTATGACAATGTTTTGTTTCTTTTTTGGACCAACTCTTTTCCGCTTTGATTTTTCTGATCGTGATGAGCATGCCGCCTTTATAGTACTAGCATCCTCGATTTCGTTCGAGGAGGAAGTATCAGTAGGGAGAGGGGCTTCTGCAGCATTCTCTATTGCGACGACTCTTGGCTTTCTTGTCGAGTCCAAGTCTTCGCAGAGTTTCTTTAATTTTCCGATAAATTTGTGTGCTTCTATTTGGGTCGATTTGGACTTGAGCAAAGTAGAATCTTGTTCCACGAGACTGACAAATTTTGTCAAGTCCACCAATGGATTATACCCTTCGCATTGCTCTTTCATTTCCTTGCAGCACCTTTCAATCTCGCTTAATTGAGAATGCAATGCTCCTCTCAACATCTCCCGTGTGTCCTGCGCTATCTCAGTTTTATGCTCGACTTCACTGTGGGCAACCTGAGCTCGTTGAAATTTTGCTTCCAAACTACTGATTGCCACTTTCATTGATTTTGTCACCCGCTGCAAGGTCTTTCGATTGTGATGATGTATATCACTGGTGCATCCGCATTCTCTGCATTTGCCATTTTCTTGAAACACCAAGCAAAATCTAGCTGCTCCTACACCTTTCGTTTCTTGAAGAGCACACTTTTCGTGACATACCTTGTTGCACCGCATGCATATAGTATTATGATAACCAGTTGAAATCCACTCCTGACATTGGACTTGCTTGTCTTCAAAGAAATTCTTGTACTTTCTTTTTTCTGTCGAATGCACATTCAAAGCAGTTTGAAGAGCATTCAATGCATCATCAATTTGTTGCAGCTCCATGATTGTGAGACGTGATTCATGCAGCAAGTTCTTCATACCATTTTGTATGTCGTGGAATGAACGAAATACCACTGTATTAATCGATTTGATAGTGTGAAGATCATTGGTAAACTGTTTCAGAGTACGCATGGATTTGTCCCATTCTTCAGTTCGATATTTCTTTGTTTTCTTATCCAAAATATTTGGATCGTTCGAGAAGGCAGAGTTCTGCATATAAAGTATGTTGCATGTGGATGGTAGACCGACAGATACAGGATCAAAATTGCAGGAGTACTTCTCACAATTCGTGAGAAGAACTACCAAATTCATGTGGAGTGCATCGGGAATGCGTTCGGCGAAACGTGTAAGTACATTTCTAACATTAACAGTCAAACGGCTGAGAGCACCGTTTAAGACAAGAATGATGGCATGAAGATGAGTTAACTCCTCGATAGCGTTAAAGATCATATCAACATTAGCATTGTCTTTTAAATAGCCTCCAACATCACTGATTCCCGGCGT